TCACCGTAAAGACATTATTCTATATTTTTTATAGACGATAAGAAAAAATATTCTTTAACTTAATTAATAAGACCAATAAATTTGTAACCCACCTAACATTTTTTTCTCACCAATAATAAATTTTTCAATAAATAAGATTTTTCTCATCCTATCTGAGTTATGAGTTATTTTAACTGTATGAATCTTTCTAATGATAATTATTTAATTTTCAACTTATCCAATGTTATCAAATATATTTTGATTTTGAATGAAAGGTGTAGAATTCTTATGTAGATAGATTATAATTTGATTATTCCATTATAAAACATATCTTTCTTAAAAGAATGATAATTCTTATAAGAATTTTTACATTCATAAAATTTCCTTTACAATTTCTATAACAATAATATATTTCGTCATTATACAAGATAAAATAATACATTTTTTTTATTTAAGTGTAATCTAATTGTTTATTAGAAAATATTAAGAAAACTATTTTTCATATGTTTTTAATATCTCTTCCCTTCCAAAAAAAATTATTGAAATTATTAGAGTTTAAATTGTATCATTTAGGAATGTTTTTAACATTTTAAATATTATAAATTATTTTTAAACTCAAAAGGTCTATATATATATATATATATATATATATATATATATATATATATATATATATATATATTAAAAGTGAAATAACAATAGTTAATTAATTATAAAACTTAAAATAAATAATTTTGTAATTGAAAAAATAAAAGGAAAAGTAGTTTACATTAAATTAAGATTTAAATATTAAAATTTATAAAAAGTTTAGAAGGGCCATCTTGTATAGATTATAATTCTTACGCCCTGTAAAGGCTTAAAGTATTTAGCGAAAAATTGTTGGAGAAGATTGGTATTTGATGTCATATGCCGCAATCCCATGAAAAGGCATAAATGCGTTGATACGATAAATCCACGATAGATAAGGTCAAAATACCACTAGTGATAACTCATATATATATATCAAACTTTAAAAAATAAAATATATGAAACCTAGTTTTCTTGGTATTGGTGTATCGACCTCTTTTGCTAAAGATATTAAACCCTAAACATAATTATTTATTATGAAAAATGGTTCTGGTGTTTAGACACATGAATGAAATTAGGGCATGTCTTCTCACGTTTGGAATGTGGAGGAAGAACAATTTTAGAATTCATTGGACATCAAATCTTGATCACTTCATCATAATGGTATGGGATGCGACTATTCGTAGCTCTACCTCCATGCTATTCCCATCCATAGTTGACATTCCTTGAAGCACCTCAAAGGACATTTTCGTCCACCGCCACAATCTAATTCTCATCGTATCCATCTTTCGGCACCGTTTGGCTCATCTTTATGCCCTAATCGATTCTCTCTCCATTCTCACGCCACTAACCCTATATGCTACTAGCAACTAACACACCACAAAAGTCCCTATCAAATCAATGGTATTTCCAGGCATATTTCCTTCCCTCTTTAATTCCGATACCAAACAATGCGCAAGAACCCTAATGTGCATACCCCTTTTTCATCTCCTTTCCCTCTCTCCACCGTATATAAATACTCAACCCTTCAACCCTAACTGACATCACAAACTATAAAACCAACCCTTCTTCCTCCCCTACTTCTTTTCTCCCACCTATTTCCCATCAAACCCTAAACACTAACACATACATTATCTACTGTCAATAGATGGATCGTGTAGCGAAATTGGCATCACAAAAGGCAGTGGTGATCTTCAGCAAGAGTTCATGTGGGATGTGCCACGCAATAAAGCGACTGTTCTACGAGCTTGGGGTGGCTCCTGCAATATACGAGGTGGACGAGGTTTCAAGAGGGAAGGAAATAGAGTGGTGTCTGATGAAACTAGGGTGCAACCCTTCTGTGCCTGCAGTGTTCATTGGAGGCCAGTTTGTGGGTGCTGCTAACACAGTGATGACCCTTCACCTCAATGGCTCGCTAAAGAAAATGCTGAGAGATGCTGGAGCATTGTGGCTTTAGAAAAAGTAACGTCATTTCATATCGTATCATATAATATACCTCTCACATGCATGCACGTAATGCAAACAACAGCGAAAGCACGCGTTATCGGAACCTGATTTAGATGCATGTATTATAATATACCATACCATGGTATCTTTTGGGGTGGCAAAGATATTTGCATGTCCTTCTTTTATTATCTTTCAGAAAAAAGATAAAGGTGTTAAGTACTAAAGATTGTTCTTAAATATATCTTTAAAATATCACTTCTTCTTTCCCATACACTGCTGCTTTTGGAATATTCGTATAATTACCGGACAATTCTTAAACTCAGTATTTTAATGATGAGAAATTTTAACTACTATTTATGTCAAGAGTTTGCTTTTGATATATTATTAAGCAAAAAAAATATGAAAAAGTTTTTTTATTAGTTTAAAAGGTAATTTATAATTGTAATTTGAAAATAACTACATAAAGTACAGATGCTTTATAATCTATAACTAAGAATGATCAATGTAACTTTTTTTTTATGCATACTATCATTAAAATTTAATTAACTCTAAATTACTAAATAAAATAAAAAATGTAATGTTATATATGTATCCCAAACATTCAAATTTGTGACCTATAGTTTACTTTGTTTTATTAGGTTGATTGGAGGGAATTTATTAATACAAAAATTTAAAAACTTATAAATGCTTTCTAAAAAAAATTTGTAGAACGTAACATTCTAGGGTTGTGTCAAAAAAATATTAAACGTGTGAAAAATATGTAGCAGATGTAGCAAATGTGCGAAAAATAGAAAAGATAATAGGCATGATGAACAAACTAGGACAAGTGGCATGATTAAGCCTCTCTTTCATTGTTGCGAGTAAGGAAATTGAGAGAGTTATTTATATCACAAATTCTCATTTTATTTTCTCTTCCTTTTAGTCAAAATATAATCATTTAACAAGTTTGAATGTTGATTCAAATATAAGAAGTAATTAAAGGTGTTATTTATCTAAAAAAGAAGGGATGTTTAGGATGAAATTTGAGTGTGTTTCTTCTCAGAATTTTTAGTACCACTCCTTGCAGACGAAGAACAAAGAGAGATACTCAAAGAATAACCTATCATTTGACAAGATTAAAAAGTTTGGTAAGTTTTCATAACTCCCTCCTGTTCAACTAAAACATTTTCTTGACAGTGCAATCATCCAAGAACAGAGAGGAATCTAAGGGTGCCAATATTCTTGAGGAAGATCAAGAACATGTATCCGACATTGGAATGCAAGTCAGGAGTTCAAGTAAACAAAAGTGAAATCGAAAAAAACCCTTAGACGAGAAGGATCATCTTCTCAATCGTATAATACTCACACATTTATGATTAAATATTAATTTGTGGTTTAATAATTTTGTGGGTTGATATTAAACTTGTTTGTTTGCGTAAGAAATACATTAATTACCTACGAGGGAATGTAGTGAAGTTAGAACTCAACTATGTCATCCATTCAAATTAAACGCATTTTATTATGCAGCCAATTGTTTGACAAAATTTAAAAAATTTAAAAAATTTTACTCTTCTAATTTCATATCTTTTATATGCAATTGTATTTTATATTGGTTACTCTCATTATTTAATTTTCGTAATCTATAATTTATTTAAATTGTTTAATTATAATATAAGTTTACGTATATATAATTTTTACTTATTATTTTATTACTTGTAAAACGTGAAACTCTTGGTAAAATTTACTATCAAACAAGAGTCATTAATGTATAAAAGTTATATAAATTTAGAAACATGTTTTAAATAGAAAAACAGATGTACAATAAGTTAAGAGAGTTTAAAATAACTTTTACTATTCAAGAAAAATGATATTAAGTATGATATAAAAATATTATAAATTAGAAAGTTAAAGAAAAAAAATGTTGAAATTTTGGATAATATGCGATTACAAAAATTCATAAATGCTTTAATAAAACATAGCTAATTTTCGAAAGTTTGAAAGAAAGAAAAAACTAGAATTAGGTACACTTAGTAAAAAAATACTTATAATAAAATAGCAAAGTATACATAAAAATATTTGAAGAAAAAAAAAGTATGGAAACTGAAGGGTAAAAGACATTGAAGGCATACATATATTCAAATAAAAAAGTCGCGAGAAAAAAAAAACAGTTCAATTTTTTTAACCAAAATATGTTTTTATTAATCCTCAAGTTTATTGTAAGTTTGTTTTTATTTCTATAAATATAAAAATAATTTTTTAAGTTCTATAATTTTGAAGAAGAAAAAAGTTCGTTTATCTTCAATGTTGATGTTTATAATTATACAAATAGTTGTTAATATTCCACGTAAATAAATAACTAACATTATTATCATTAAATAGGTCAACATTTTTATTGGAAATTGAAAAACATATAGTGGAGTATGCCTGTTTAATTTTAGAATATTAATATAGATATATTTTAATAATATTAATAAATTAATGATATATAATACAACTAATAATCATTCATAAATATAATAATATTTAAACTAAAACAGAAAATAATGTACAATTCAAATGGCTAAGAAAAGAAAAAGTAGTAATCATATTATTTCTCACGCAAACTATGGGGAAATATAATGATAAATTGCCAACTTCTTCCACCATACTTCCACTTCCGATTATGTATTAGCAATAAATTACAGTTAAATTAAATTTAAATTATGTAATGATTCATCTTAAATCCTCGTTCACTTTCAAATTATAAATCTAAAGCTTCTATATATGCACACGCGGTTGATCTATATATATCATCATTAAATTGCATTCTATACTTCGTTTGCTTTTACCTTGTTTTAGAAAAGCATTTCAGTTTCTTGGTCTCGATCTTTCCCTTCTCTTGAATGCGCGTTAAAGATCTTCTTGAGAGTGAGAAAAAACACAGGGCAGTGAGTAGTTCTTGGTAATGAGATATTGTTGAAGGTGAAGGTGTGAGTGGCTTTGTTACGATAGAGTGTAGCTTTTTGTGATTGGTTTTCTTGCATTTTGAAATGGGTGGTTGTCTCTGTTGTGAAACAAAGCGATCAGGCAACTTGGGGCAATCTGGGAGCACCCCACTTACCACAGGTCACAACAAATTTCCTATCTTTCTTCCATAAACTGCGTTTTTTCTTTATTTCCAGCCTCGTTCGATTTCAGGGTTGCCTTCGATATTTCCCCTTTTAACCATGCTTTTCTTGGTAACTCTTGGTTTCTTTCATCATGTTCATCTGATATATATTGCTTCCTGTGCTTTTCTTTTGATGAATTTAGTGCTTAGTATTCTTGACGTTCGATCTTGAGGTACAAGAAACAAGAATAACACAATGCATGTTTGCCTTAAGTAGACATTGTGGTGCAATGCAATTTGCAATATAAAAGTTTTCTTTTTAAAAGATGATTGCTAATGCATTTTACACCTTCTGGCTGCATAATTATTTGCAGCATCAACGTATAATGGCACCCCTTGTCTGCATAATTTCTTCTGCAATTATACTTTTCTGTTTCTTTCGCGCCTACTTATAGTACTTTATTATTTATTCAAAATGGAAAAACAGGAACAAAATCAGAGAGTAAATCTGCAAAAGCATTTGCATTCGCAGAGATTGCAAGTGCTACAAAGAATTTTAGGCGACAACTTCTGTTGGGTAGAGTGGGTTATGGGCGAATGTACAAAGGTCAACTGAGTAATGGCCAAGTAAGTTGTGATTGCCAGTACTAATTAAAATTTTGGATTAATCAGTTTGAATTTGGAAGACTATGAATATATACTGTGTTAGCTCCAATCTCTCATCCATCCATGTATTATTGCAGGATGTTGTGGTGAAACTGCTTCAGGAAAATAGCATACAAAGAGACCAAGAATTTTTGGATGAGGTTGAGATGCTGTCTTTCTTAAGTCACCCAAATATTGTGAGCATAATTGGTTACTGTTGTGAACGTGATCAGCGGCTACTTGTTTACGAGTATATGCCATTGGGGTCTTTGGATCATCTCTTACACGGTCAGATATAAATATAATTTATGCATATGCTTTTTATTTCTCCATATAATTATTGATGATTGTGTGTGTGTGAAGATCTTCCTCTTGAAAGGGAACCCCTTGACTGGAAGACAAGGATGGAGATAGCAACTGGTATGGCAAAGGCATTGGAGTATTTGCATGATTGGGCAGACCAACCTGTGATATGTGGAAACTTAAAATCATCGAAGGTCCTCTTGGACGAGCATTATAATCCCAAGTTGTCAGGTGTTAGGTTGTTTGGTCCCCTTGGTGATTACGTTCACGGGTTAAGGCGAGGGGTGGGAAAATCTTGTGCGAGTGCCCCAGAATTTATAACCACTGGTTACCTAACTACGAAATGTGATGTGTACAGTTTTGGAGTGGTCCTCCTCGAACTCATTACGGGGCGCAAGGTTGTTGATTATGAAATGCGTCATCTTGTTAAGTGGGTGAGTTGTTAAGCTTAAGATCTCATCTCATGTTGAAATATTTGATAAGTTTTATTGTTCGTGTTTTGGTAGGCGCGACCTCTTTTTGCGGACCGTAATCAGTTCGATAGATTGGCCGACCCTCTACTTAAGGGGCGTTTTCCAAAGGGAGGGCTATATGAAGCAGTTGCCGTTGCAGCAATGTGTTTGCATGAAGAACCTGATAGAAGGCCCGCGATGAGGGAAGTCGTTACTGCTCTCCAATACCTGGCCTCACGCCCAAATGATTATACCAGACCTCGTCCACCCCCATCATCATCATCATCATCCCCATACCCAACTGCTGTGGATATAACCTGCCGTTGAGAATTTCACACGAAACACACCATTTCATTTTGCTGCTTCTTTCACACCACAAATTCTTCTGTTATAGTCATGTGTAGAAAAACAACTTGTCTAGTTCGATGGATATATCATGTGAACTACATACAAAAACAAAGGAGTTGGCTCTTCACTTCATGAACCTTTGTAACCACGTGAATGGGGTTTGTCTGACTCTTATTTTCCTTTCCAAGCCTTTGCATTGACTAAACATATTTCTTCTTCTTCTTCTTCTTCTAATCGCAATTACCACCACTCTCAGCCAAACTCTAGTTCAATTCCTTCAACTACTAATCGCAAAAGGATTTCTCCAGTAGAAATGCAACTCCGTTGAGTCAAGGACCTTAATTCTCTGAGTCACAAATGTTGGTTTGATGCTACAATTTGATTAGTCTGAGCGTTACCTTCACCGTCGATACAACACTTTTTTTTTATTAACTAAGAAGAAAACTGTTATTTTATTTTTCACTTCCTTTTCAAACAATAAATCTTTAAGAAATATGATAAAAATCAATATAATCAATTATGTCTTAAACATAAATATTTCACAAAAAATAAGTATAAATATAATATTAAAATAATAAATATTTTTTTAATAATAAATCATTTTATTTTCTCATATATTATTATCTTTATCTAATTCAAATAATTTCTTTTTTTTTCTCATTTTGGATTTTCTTTCCTTTTGTACTTTCTGCCTTTCAATTCCCCCAACGAAACAAATAATTCTACTCTCAATTTATGTCAGCCAATCACAAACCAAGTAAAACTGCATTATAATAAAATTTGAGTTAAATTTCCATTACTTTTTTAAATGAAAACACTAGACCAACGTATAATTTTTTGGGAGTTTTCTTTGTTGTATATAATGAATAGAAAATAACTAATATTTTATCAAACATTAATATCACATTTTTATAATGCTAAAAGTTATGCATAATTTTCAAATTATAAAATTATAATGTTTAAAATACACAAGCTAACTCCTTAAAGTAATTTAAATCATTAATAAATTCGAGTTTGAGTGGAAAAAAAATCATCAAAAGAAAAAACAGCACCAAATTATTATGATTATAACAATCTAACATAAAATTAAAAAAAAAAAAAAACAGACAAATTATAAACACCTAATATAACAATATACTAAAAAACCCTTTAAAGTGTTGGGTACTGACTAAAATTGATCGATGCCTAGTATTTCAAAATCTAGTGGACTAGTATTGAACACGAGCAAAAGTAGAATCGTAATTTCCCTTCGGGGCAGTATGAAGAAAGAATTACAATGTTATGTGTGAAGTGGCCGCAATAAAATAAACCGGGCAATCTAATCTAACGGTAGGTGTTAGTAAATTTACAAAATAAAGAGGCCACTAGCACTGGTCTTTGTGAAGTTACACTAGGCCATCACTTGAAATGTCATCTATCGCCACACCTCTATCAGTCCCTGTACCCAATTTATTTTTTCTTCTTCCCCTGCCACAATGCCAGAGTTAGCTTCGGGAAATTCGCAATGACTTGTGCTTAATTAAAATGAAATAAATAAAGCATGACATAACAAGAAATATACCGAGCTTAAATAGTCATCCATGGTTAGCTGCTTCCGCTTCTTCAGAGAGGGACTTTCAGTCTGTCTAGTCAAGGAACGCTTCGATGGGGTCATGCTCTGCAAGGGTTGTCAAACTTGGTTAAAAAAAACAGTTAATATAAACGTAATTTAAGCAACTCGATTAAGTTTAAAAGGAAATTTAACCTTGGCTGCAAGTTTCTTCTCTTTACGAGCTTGCCTCTCCCTCTCGTCAAATTCTTGATTTTCCTTCTCTACCAGACGTATGAGGGTGTCACACCTCCTTGTAAGTTCCTGTGTTGTGCGAGACTTGACAAACCAATCAAAACGAAATAAAGCAGACATACGAAAAGCTGCCTTCAACTCATCCCAATTACCATAGCCAAGTTTGTGAATCATGCATATCTGCAAAATTTTGTAAAAGTCGAATAACACAGGAGTATGTAGAGAGTATATCAACAAAAAAGAAATAAACAAATTTGGATGAGAAAGCAATAAATATATATCTTACCATGAACCGATCACATTCTTCATTGTATAACTTCCCTTTGTTTTGTCCATATTGTATCTTCAATTCTAGCCAAGGATTCTTATAGCGGTCCAACTTCTTCCCAATAGCTTTCATGATTTCATCTTTGCGAGATATTCTCGCCTCCCCTCTTTCGATGTTTTTAATAATTCTATCATAATCTACATACAGTAAGTCACAAATAAATCAGACATACCCTTGACATTTTAATACGAAACTAAATTGAAGCTTCATTTGGCTAATTAACACACATCAAACACTTAATGTTTTGGTAGGAAATCAAACAGCCCGGATAACAAACCCTTAGAAATCGCCAATATTAAACAAGAAAATTGAATTCAGTGAGACATTTGAATCTAAATTACATTTCATATTGGATTATGCAAAGTACATTAAGCTTTTATAACGTTCTATAAAAGATTGCATTGTCCATATTGGATATAACTTACCATTTAATTCCTTGTATCTTTCTTTGAAGACTTTTGCATATCTTTCAACTTCCTCTTGCGTTTTTCCTTCCATTTCAGAAGCAATACTTTTTATATCGTTTCGGCCATACTTTTCGCAGGCCCTAATGAATGCATTAAAATCCTTCCGGCTCCATGATGAGAATCCCTTTGTTCACCGAATACCAGAATTAAAAAATATAGCAATAAATAGATTTGTGTCAAATCCTAGCGCTTATAAATTATAAAGCAAAACTTCTCACCTCTTCTAGCAACTGTTCCTTCTCTTCTAACTCTTCAGCAGTCAATGGATCTCCCACCTCTAGCAATTCAACATGCAAGTCATCATTGAAGTGATGAGGGTAAATTATGTGTCCATCCTAGGGATGCTTAAATCTTATTCTCCTCCGCTCTAGATTTTAAAAAAAATCACAATTACCCTTTTCCAACGGATGACATACTAATTTACTGTAAATACCCTTTCTATCCGCTGTCCTAAGAGAGACTGTAACCTACCTACCTAATTAATTATATACAGATAATAAGGGACAACAATCTGTTGAGTATTTGCATACCTTCTGGTTCATCAACATCTATGGAGTCTTTCACCTGATTCTTCTGATGTGTTTGCTGAAATTTGTTAAGCAATATAAGCACCAGACATACACAAGTTAGATGATCCAAACCTCAATTGTTTAATCAGTAAGTTTAGGTTACCCACCATGAGGTAGCGAACTTCCTTTTCATACAGCTCACTCAGCCTCTGTGTGTTGAAAAACTGAAAGTCATGCCTGAAGGAAACCGAATTGAGAACTCAGTCCAAATAAAAGCACTATATTTAAATAATATACAAAGGGTTTTTGTGAGAAGCTTACAATTGAGGCATCCTTGGAATGCGTGGCTCTTTTGGCTTAGTAGGAGCACCTTGGCGCATTGTTTGCTTGAAATATTCAGACTCCGAATAACTAAAGTCATAACCACCACCACCCCAAATTAATAAATAAATTATAAATCAGACTGACAAAAAGAAACAAAAAACTCAGTATACAGAATGAAGGCCAATATTTACTTGCGCTTCCGTTCTCTTCTTGGTGGCTCGACCCAGTTTTCACTCACAATTTTTTTGAAATCAAATTTGTTTTCGTCCTTCATTTAAAGAATAAAAGCACATCCAGAGGTTAGTTAAAAAAAACATGAGAAAGGCAAAGGGGGTTGATGCAAAAACAAACAATAAAAACATGATTCATATTGAGCAAAGATAAAATGTCAACTTACCTTCTCATCATCAAAATCATATAACTCAGCAGCTACAAAAAGAAAAATATAAATTTTAGTAGACTTTCATTAAGTTTAAAAAGCCAAGTTGTTTAGCTAAACAGGAGTCACAAACGTTTGCTTATAGGCACGTTGTAATAACAAAGAAGCCTCAGTCAACAAAATCATGTAAACTAACTGACTTGTTGCTTTTGAGTATATACAACAAAAATTACATACGAAACAAGGATCATGACATTAACTAGTTCATTGTCTCACAATAAGAATAAGATTTAAAAGGGATGCACCACACAAGGAAAACTATGGCAAAAAAATCCATTTACTCTCTTAAATGAGTACAAAAGTGCAGGGTAAAGCATTAAACCTACAGGTAAATAGGAATTTATAAAAGAAATTATATTTAAAACTGATCAATCAAACATTGTTGGTAAAGCCAGAATTTAGTTTTAAAGGTTACATACTGTCATCCATCTTAAATTTGATAGCATCTTCAGTAAATTTTTTCATCTTAGCATCAAGCTCAGCTGTTGCTTCCTCTCCTTTAGCAATAATTCTGTCAATATCTTCATCTGTAATTGTACTGTCCTTGGAACTAAAAACCATTTCAGCACCAAATCTAACCATTTGAAGCAACTCATCTTTATTCACAGCTGCAAACATAAACAGATTGAACCATATTGAATAATCGATGAATGTTGGAAAAATAAATAAAGCAATTACTGAAAATACTTACTCTTCTGTTCAGCTAATCGGCCTTGCTGAATCACCAGAGCATCAAGTGCAAGCTTTTTGTAAGCTCTTTCAATGACTTTTTCTTCAATCGTATACTGTGTGCAACCATGATACGAGAATGAGATATTGACACAGTAAAAAAAAAGGGGGAGGGGAGAAGCACCATTACTTTGGAATAGTTGTCATATCAGTGTAAAACACATTTTGAATATCTTTCACAATTTCTAAGTTTGATATTTTTTAATTATTTTAAGGATTTTCCTGCCAAGACAAGAAGTCACAATTGGAAGTATTTTATATTATCTACAATGACTTGTGCTTACTTACGAAAATGTGTTGTCTTTATTCTAATTTGGCATTTATAATTTTTGTTGAAAATATATTAATTTATTATGTTGTAAGTTGTAACTAGTGAGCAACAATGTAACAATTATTAGAA